AAAAAAAAAAATAAAAAAAAAGTATAATTGACACGTGTTCAACATTTGACCCACTGGGCAGTCGCAGCAGAAGCAGTACTGCTCTGTGGATCCAACAAGGCATCCCACTGAGAGGTCAGCTGACCCAGGAAGAGGGAAGGAGAGAGGGGGGAGGAGGGAGCATGATGATGGTGATGATGATGGTGGTGATGGTAGTGGTGGTAATGATGTCATAGCGTCATGCTTTCAGTACTGCAGTGTCTCACTCCTCCCTGCATGTCCCAGCTCACCCGCCTGCGTTCCTGGCCTTGTCCCTTTGTTTTCACAGCCCAATGCAGCATCTGCCCACTGGGCAAGCTGCCAGGAAACACCCCCACCTCCCTCCCCTCTTTATCCCCACCCCACACTCCCAACTCCTGCTGCTCTGAATACTCTGCTGCTGTGTCATGCATTTTGCTGATTAGAAGCCTGCACACTCAACATAAAAGCTTGATAGGCTGCTCTTCGTAGTCTCCTCTCCATACGTATCTTTACCTTTGCTGTCTTGCCCTCTTTTGTGTCTGTCTGTGTGGCTTACTGTAGCATAACCTATGAGCAAGTCTCTCGCCGTCTCTTGTTTCCATCAGTTTTGCTTCTGTTGTCTACCTCACTCACCAATAAAACATACAAAATGAATAACAAAAATGCCACTTTGATTGTAGCTTATCTTGTGAAAACGGTTGAATAATTTCTTCCGTGGCACTGAAGGAACTTTGTCAAGTCTGAGAAAATTAGTCAACTTCATCATCTCAGGACCTTTTTATTCTCAAAGGCATTTTATTTATTGATGGCTCCTACCCCCAATTTATTCTTATTCTGTAACAATATGTCCTAAAATCTTTATTCAGTTAATCAATTTCTTTCATCTTTGGTCTTATTTCTAATCTCAGTTTGAGCTGGGAGACCCTGCATGGAGTTAGAAAGATGTTTGAAAGGTGTTCAGAAGACAGGGAGGATCTTACAAAAATGTTCCTACGTTGGATTATGGGATTATTAGTTGGATAAGCGTAGAATGCGATGGGGCTTGATCTGTCTCTTGCAAGTCTTTCAATGTTATAAAAGTGCTGTACTAAATTGCTGGAGCAGCCTTTTTATATGGTCAAGTAAGTCCACTGTGAACTCTTCACAGTGAGATTTGTGGGTTATCCAGAGAATCGGGGGCATTGTTTTAAATCTAATTTGTCAATGCTGTGGGCTCCATTGTTCTGGGGTGGTGGCAGAAATCTGAAACCGAAACAAAACCTATTTGCATGGCTTCACACAAGTAGGGGTAGGTAAGGCACTGTGTTTTTTAATATATCTTTTAACTAGCCCTAGGATAATTGGCATGAATGCAGTACGATTTGTCACACAAAGTTTGATTTCCTGTTTTTGCATCAGACTCAAATCAAATCGTTCTAATATGATTAACTCAATTATGTATTTAGAAGATTCATAATTGGCTGTTGATCAGAGGGCCCAATATTTATCAGACTTGTCACATTAAACTTTGCAGATTGCCAACTGATGTCAAATTATCTCCAAATGATACATGTAATTTCATTACACTTCAGCACTCTTGAGATTGTCGACTATTTGTGGGTTTTATTTGACATCAACACTCCTCCTCCAAACCCCCTTTTTTATTTTTATTCACAAGTGTGTAATGAAGAAGAAACAGAAGGTTAACTGTTATACAAGCTGTTTCATAGGTCCTAAATGCATATCTGAATGAATGCCCCGACTTTGTTTTAATTCCTGAATCTGAGGCCCTTTCACTTCTGTGTCTGCTTTGAATTTGAGTGTTACCCTGAGTTTCATCATGCGCTCTTGTATCTGTAGTAAGCTCTGACAAGAGACGTGCAGTCACTTGTACTAAACACATAAGTGCCATTTATCTCCAGGTTGCTTGTGTGAACAAGGTGACTCGCATTGTTTGACAGCTCCTTCCAGGATGGAGGTGCATCACAAAAAAATTCTTAAACATAAAAAAAAACAACAACATATAATTTGGAAAAAAGCAGAAACTCCCCAGACTCAAATGCAACTAACTATATGCAAAATGCTCTTTGGTTATTAAAAGCAAAGCTCAATGCACCTTTAAATGATGTCTTTGTCAAAAGAAACCCACACTGTTTTGTTTTGCAATGTAGAAACAACTGTATTTCTTTTTTTTGGAATTTGTTTTACTTCCTTATGTTACTGAAACTAAGACATGTCCGGACTTTACTTGTTTATACACAATGCACATTAATCAACAATTAATCAACTTAATATATATCTATCAATAATATTTACTACATAGCTGAGTAGATTTTAACCTTTTTTTTTGTCTTTAAAAGTTATTTTGGCATTTTGCCTTTGTTGGACAGCTTAAAGTACAGAGGCAGACGAGAAGCAACTGGAGGGAGAGCAAGGATCCTCAGTTGTAATTAAACTGGGGATGTTGTAGTTATTTGTCATTACAATGACAATTTTAACCATATTTTTAGTTTGATTTAAAAAAATGCTGTATACAGTGGATTTCATAGGGATTGTTCCTGAGGTTTGCTGCTCTCACGGAAAAGGCTGATTGTACAATTTTTCTCCATCTGTGGGACAATAAAGTCGCCTCTGGCAACTGCCTAAACTTTCCTGGAGGCACTGTCCACAAGTTTTGACAAAGTGGCTTAAAGCAGACGTGCTGTTTCATACAGAAAAATATAAGACATAAGTCCATGTATATCTTTTGACACTTTTATAACAAAGTACAGAAGGCAGTTTGCTGTGACATTTTTATGCTGAACAGTCGTATAACCCAGATATCTCCTCCTGCTTGTTGGAAAAAGACGCTTTAAATTCACACATGCCTCCTGCACCCCCCTCCCCCTCCAACTTCCTCCTCAGGTGGTACGCGCCTCCTCATACACCAGTGAGGGCATCCCAGAGGTCTGGGCCAAGATGGAGTTGTACCGGGACTCCATGTTGGCCAGCGGTGAATTTCAGGGCCGGCGGAGGGCCCAGCAGAAGGTTTGGATGTGGAGTTTGATCCAGGAGAACGTCCTCCATCACTTCCAGAATCACCCCAGTGTCAGAGATACCCTACCCCACCTAGAGAAGAGGGTCACCAAAGGAGCCATCTCCCCAGGCCTGGCCGCTGACCTGCTTCTCAAAGCCTTCTTGTCATCATCATCATAATAATCAGTGGGACTGCAATTTTAGAGAAGGATGGATGCCGGATGGATGCCTCATGGCTGATCAGGGCCACTCAGTGCCAAGAAAAGCCAGGACAGTGTGAAAATATGTGACCTTGATTCTTTGGTTTGCACAAAAAGAAACAGCCCTTCTGTTTTTATACTTAATTTAAAATTTAAAACATCTAAGATATAAGTCACCTCTCCACAGAAACACACAGTGTCTGCATGCTTTAATCCAAATCAGGAGAGAGCTGAGAGTGCAGACAGTCGACACTGCCCGCCTACTGCTCCAAGACCCATCCATATTTGGGACAGTGGACAAACATTTCAATTGTGTTTAACTGTGCTGTGAGATATGAAATGTTACGCTGCCAAAGGCCTGCTTTTTTTTCTAAAGCAGATACTGGACATGGACACTACAGACCCTCAGGAACAGTTTAAATATACGGAGGACTGTAAAGGCCATGTTGTTACATTTGGACAGTCGTTTGCACAATACTCATCGCTTTTATAAATACAGGTTCACTAAGTGGTGACATGCCATAAATGTTGACATGACAAATACTGTGGTGGAAATATTATTTGTGGTGATGTATTTTACTGAGACTCTTGCCCACCCTCCTCCTACAGTGACCAATAATAGACACTATGTGTAACCCACAAAGGAAAGTGAAAGGATCAGACTTAGAGAAATGGGATGGGTTATGATCTCTCGTGTCTCTTGTTAATCTGCCATGGACATTGTTCTAATAACAAACACATTTTTATTGGAAAAGCAACTGGACACTTTTTGTTTCTGACTTGAATATTTTATTAAACGAATGATGTGAATCTTAACAGACCTGTGTGAAGGTTTTTCTGCCAATAGATCCTCTTAAATTTTACGCACTAGACCTGAGTGAATAGCATTAAATCTGTCTGTACAGTTGGCCTGGCTTTCCTCTCTCCCGGTGTTTGCTCACGATATGAAAAAGTGGGGAGTGATTAATGTTACCTCTACGAATATTAGTCCTGAGATTTGTCAAAGATGTAATGAAATTTATTTCTGCGTCTGGAGCCAGAAATGTCAGTGCTAGGTATCCCCTGAACGAGTCAGCTGCACAGTTGCTTCTAATTCAGGCAAAACACACTTTAATATTTTCAGAATTACCTTCAGAATGCACTGTACTCCTGGACACCACCAGAGAACTAAAGGCAAAGAGAAGTCACACACTCATAACTCTGCTGCAGCTACTTTATTAATTTAAACAAACAAGTTGCTTTATTCAGGGTGAAGCAATAGACTCTGGTATCAGTAACACTGTATAATCTACAGAAGGAGTATTTCCCATATATCCCAATATCCTGCTTTAAGGTCCAGTGTGTAATATGAAGGATCTGTTGGCACAAAAGGAATATAATATTCACTGGTATGTTTTCATTAGTGTATAAATAAGAGTTGTTGTGTTTTCGTTACTTCACGTGGTCTCCACCATGTTGTAGCCCAGAATGGACAAACCAAACACTGGCTCTAGATCGGGCATTTCCTGTTCACCACAGTTTTAGGCTGTAGGCTGAGCTGTATTCAAATGATTGCACACTACATCTACACATTGATTCAGTGTGAACACAAACTTTAGTTCAGAGTTAAACATGAAATACAATATAAAGTACACAATACTACCTTTTCTGAAGCACATAATCAGTTTTAAAGGAAACCGTCAGAAATGTTGTTTTAACTCTGGTAATTTTATGATTCAATATTTTGATGTTGTATTGTATGACACAAATTCAGATCAATTAAGTTTAGTAAAAATAATATAACTTTTGGGCTTAATATGTCAGTGATGTATCAGTCTCACAAAGATTTCCTTATCCAGCAGCTTAGGAGCTCTTGGAAAATCTGACATTTTAGGGCTGAACTCTGTGTACTTTCAGTAAAATGCTGCAAATATGGAGTTAATCCATTTGTGTCATAAGACATTAATGCAATCTTCAACTTTATTCTAAAAGTAACTGGAAACCAAAGGAGGCTTCAAAATTAGGTAACTTTGGGGTCATTTGTTTTCCTTTCTTAGTTCTAGTTAAAAAAAGCTGTGTTTTGAGCAAACTACTAACATTTAGTGCTTTTTGTTAAATTATATGCAGATTATAAAAGTTTTAATGGGAAGAAATGAAGGTGTGAATAACTTTCTCCAGGTAACCGCAGTCAGTAAAGATTTGAAACCATAAAGCATGTATAGTGTTCAATAGTGTTCATAATACGTGTATCAACCCCCTGTGGGTGTGAGTTTCTGCTTTCTCAAGCCACTAGAGGTCTCCCAAATTCCACTCAGCTCTGGATTCATTATCCTAATGACTGGGCCCTCAGTGCCAACCACCCTCCCCTTCATAACGCCCCCGCCTCCTGCCCTCCATCCATTCTTCATTGAGGTTGCCTAGGGTGCCAGGTCACTCAGAGGTGAGGACATCAGCAGCTGCCACTCTCCTGGAGCACAGGCTGTACTGTAGTCCTTGCCCTCAGTGCCAAAGCCTTCCTTGGCCATTCTCAATCCTCACTGAAAAGCAGAAAGTAGCAATGTTAAAGTACAGTACAGAGCAGGAGGGTTGAGTGTGTGACTGTATGCCTTTTCAACCTCAACCCTCTTTTTGAAAATAGCCTATATTTCAGAGGGGGGGCGGGGATTAGGTGAATTCAATACTAATCCACGCTTGTCCTTGCTGGTCTGCTTTTGGAAATACCGAGCCTGAGCCCCCCAACCACTGGACGCGCTCCCAGGTCGCTGCTCGTTTGCTCCTGCCTGCGTACAAGAGGAAGAATGCCCCTTGAATGCAGATGGATTCATTAGGTCTGAGTAACACCCTTCTCCTCCATCATGCTGACACAAACACATACACACTGTAACTGCTCTGGCTTTGCAAAAGGGAACAGTGAGTTCTGCAGCTCTGGACACGCTCCACACACACACACACACACACACACATACATGCATATATGTACACACATTTGTCTCCAGTGTAAACAACACCATGCGGTTTCACTAAGGAAGATTAACTCAAATGCTGCCGGATCGTGTTCGGCCATTTTAGCCTAAACACAGGGAACCATCCACATGTGTTTAGCATTTCGCTGGATCTCTTGAATGTAAGCAGAGGACAGAGACTGGCTCTTTGATGAGGTTTTTTCATGTTTAATGGAGGGGCTTACATTGACAGCCTTTCTTTGTGTCAGCAGTCTGAAGTCAGAATGCTTTCCTGGCTCAGGACAAAACAAAACGGTGCTCTCATACTGTTGTAATTGCCTTCCAAAAACTCAGCTTTTCCCCTTCAAAACCTCAAAGTATGAAATGAGCTGAACAATGGGGCTGCTACAAATGTCAGTAAATAAAGCAAGCATTCCGTAGCACAGACATCTATGTTTTTCTTCTTGTTGGTTGTGTCAGCGTTATAGTTGGGTTGTTCTCTGGTCAGATCAGAGCGAGAGGGAAGCCTGACACTGAGGGAAATGTCAGACTGGCCCTCCTACCAGGCCGATGTGGGAGCTGTGTGTGTAGTGTGACAAGCGGTCATGGGCTGCTGATCCACGAAGCCTCAACCCGTCCCTGCTTTTGTTTGCTCTGCTCCTCGCACACAAGCACATACCACCACACTCACCCGTCACGAACACCCGTCCTGCTCACCTCCTACACATCTTGTACATACATCTAAGCCATCCATCCTGTCACACGCACGCACCCTCACGCACCCACTCACGCTGCCTGCCTTGTTGCCCACCCGGCCGCTCCGACTCGGCTGGCTGCACTGCTGACTCTCTGTAGTGACAGATGAGTGTGTGAGAAGCATTTCCTCCAGGCTCAGGGCTCACTTTCAAGACGGCTGCAAAACGATATACAAGAAGCCACACGCTAATGGGGTTGGAGAGCTGCAGCGAAGCCCTGAGTGTGTGTGCATGCTTGTAGATGTAACACCCCACTCATTATGCTGCTCTGATGGGTCACTGTGCAGCCTCTTTATAGGAAGACCCTTATGGCGACATGTCTTATTATATCAACTGCTGAGATGGATGTTAATACCAGGCTGCGCTGTGCATGCTGCGTGCTCTCTAGCCTGTAGAGTGATGAGACATGGTTGGTATTCGAAGTGCGTCTCATTGCATGGGCTAATTCTATTTAACCTGGTGAAGTCGGCTAGATGGTACGGTCAGAATGCCCCAGGGAGACCAGTATGTACCTCTGCTTTATTACCCACCTGAGGAGGCTTGCTCTCCCACACATGCACACTCCACTGTTTGCTATGTGTAATTTACTGGGCAGCCTTTGGGCCAGGCCTTCATCTGCAGGAAGGCGCGAATAGAGCCTTGGCGCCAGTAATTGGACTTTAGAACTGATTGGGGAACTTGATTGACCCCCGGTAATGGATTTGAGTGAATAATTATTTGTAGTTATGGTTGGAAGATGATATCAGGGAGAGAGAGACCAATCCCACCAGTGTGACTCACCCCTGCCGCCAGAGCAGAACGCTGCCAGCACTCAATTAATGAAATCCAGCTGCTCAGACTCCCCACGTGTAGTGGCTGATCAAAAAAACACACAGGGGTCTGGTCAGAAAAAGGGTTATCTTCATCCAACCTTTCCCTTTCGCACAACCGGCAGCCTGTGGCCCATCACAATAGTGATTATAAAATCTTCTCCACTCCAGGTACAAGACATTAAGGCTGATAATGTCTCCATTATTTTTTAACTGCCTGTGGCAGTGCTCAGCACAGCCCACGGCAGCCATGTTAATGAGACCTCTCAAGATGGCAGACAGCGCCTCCTCAGGACACAAAATGCAATCACTCTTAATCCAGCATTTTAATTGCTGGCCAAGCCTGCCTAAGTGAATTCAGCTGTTCCATCTCTGCAGGCGAGTGGCTGCACCTCGAGAAGGCTCCGACATCATACTCTCAAAGCTAAACTGGGCTTCAAAACAAATGGGAAGTGAAGCGAAGTGGTCCGTCTTAGACTTATTTGTCTGGTTGGAGGGTGTCAGACAGAGACTGAGAGCTCAGAAAGCACCAGTTGGATTTTCTTCCCTCCCTGCCCTTACTCATAATTTTTTAGCACTCTTCAGAGGCTGGAGGAGGTATTATGCAGGGAGAACAGCAGCCACCTTCCTTACCTTCCTTCTCTTTCATCTTTCTTTCTTTGCTCCTTGATTGACCCACTTGCTCCCACATCATTATCCTCACCGCTCTCCTTACTTCACTACAGTAAATTTCTCTGTGCTCTCTTTCTTCTCCCTCTCACTCTCCTGCCTTCATCCTTCCACCAGTGCTCTTGTCATATGTCCCTGTCCCCCTCCTCCCCCTCCTCTCTCCCTCCGTGTGACCCCTCATTGCCCTCTTGCCAGTCTCTATTATTTCTGGCTGCCCAGTGGCCTGGTCAGGCTGGTGCTCCGGGGCTCCAGGCAGCCCGTGTTATGACAGGTAACACTGGGCCGCACACTCTCTCTGGTAACATGTGGAGGTCAGCCTGTCATACCTGTCCACAGCTCCACTGTGCGCACACACGCACATGTGCGCACATACACAACTGCCATGATTCACTGTGTATGGATAACTGCCAGACAGCCCTGGCCGTAACCTTAGATTCAGCAAAAGTGAGCGATGAGGCGCAGTGGAGTAGAAATACACCTTTCCCCATTCTGTTCCTTTGTGCTTGCAAAACAATGTCTTTTTTTTTCCTAAAGGTCTTTACATGATGTGTTGCTTTTACAGCCTTGGCAACCAGTAGGAATGCTGTAGTTGTTCCTATTTAGTACAGAGGAGGAGGATTTAACTGGATAGTGGCTGTTAACTACAGCTAGACTCCTCTCTC